TCCGTGTAGTAAGAATTTGAGGATGGATGTACGAAGAAAACGGGAAACAATCGTGAACAAGCTTTTGGGGCAGCTCAGTAGCGCAATGTCTGTTTGCCGCGATCGCCCGTCCGCCGCGCACGCAGACACCTCTTTGTCCCATTTATCATAAGTGGTTCTTGGCTAAGTCTATATAAAGTTGTTCTGGCACCGAGCACCACCACCATCACAACAACTACTACTACAGCATGAAAGCCATTGGCCACTCACATCACAATTTGATTGCGGTATGTTCAGATTTTGGAAGGCACCACGAATGAAATACTCGAAATGCGTTCGAGTGAGAACGTTTTCGGCGTACTATTATATTTATAGGCACGTTTGGTTTGTCCTGTCTCTCTCCCTCCCTCCCTCCCTCTTTCTTTGTCTCTCCCTGTCGGGGAGTTTTAAGTGGATAAGAACCAATGCATGCATACGGATGCATGCAGGTGAACCATCAGACAAGCACTAGCGGTTTGATCAGAGTGTTGCGACATACTACTGCATACTACTTACATGTTTCCTCCCCACCTCCCCTTCCCCCATCCGTACTCGATGATGAATGAAACTACCACCAACACCAATCGAGACGATGTCTTGGAACCGTAAAAACTCTATCTGTAGAGTGATTCTGTTGCATTAGACACATCTGTTTCATTCAATACGGAGCAGATGCACGCACACAAAAAAAAAATTTGTTCAAAATTCAGCGTGGTACCGAAAATCAGAAGAAATTCGAGAGACACAGAGAGAGAGAGAGAGACGATCACATCGCACGGTTCAACTCACGTGTGTTTCGTGGCATGCAATGCACGGGCCAAATCCTCACGAAATCGGGCCACAATTTCCGTCACATTTCGTTTCGGACTCAATATGGTCCGATGAAACACATCCCACACATTGTTCACCCCAGTCCCAGCCACTCCAGTTCCGGATGGGCCCGCGATCACTGGCACTCCACCAGTCTCCTCGGCCTCCGTGTCCGCACTTAACGGGTCCGGGATTGTGGCGAGGCTGGCAAGCTCACCCGGTCCGTGTTTAAACGAGGTCAGACCACCGGGCCAAATCACACGGACAAATTCCACGTAACTGTTTGATGGAATCTCACAGCTGGATGTGCGAAACGGAGGGAAATAAGGGTAACTGAGTTAGTTCAGAATTTTATGAGAGGAATGGACGATTCGATTTGATGACGATGAATTCGTAGGTGTGAACTGAAAACCTGGGAAGCACTACTGGACACAGCAGTTTCAACCAGGCTGGGTCTGTTATCAGCAGTGGGCGGAACAGTCAGCTTTCATGCTAACTGGTGGATGCCATATGCCATATATCTGTAAGTTGGATATGGATGATTCGTATGTGCAAAGATCAAAGTGCTCTCGGTGTGGCGTCGTCGTAGCTCAGCTGGTAGAGTATGCGCGTACAATGCGTAGGCGGCGTCCATGCGTGGATTCGAATCCCACCGAGGCCACTGAACTTTTCACAATCGACATACAATACAACAACATGGTTATGTGGATGTGATACAGAGCACCAGTGTGGACAGACTATCAATAGACCTGTTTACGAACAGATAGATGATCTGGCGTGATTGATTGATATTCATGTGGTCAAGAGGAAGAATTCAGTCAGACGTACTCTCCAAGTTTTTTATCAAACCGAGGTTCAAGGTAATTGATTGATCATCCATCAGACAGTAATAAAAACGTATGGCTCCATGTCCCTGACCAAAACTGTCTGACAAACTCAATGGACAGGTGGCAACCTCACCCCCCCCCCCCC